ATAAAACAGGACAGGATGCAGGACCTTTATATTTTAGTAATGTATGCTTAGAAGTTAACTGTAAAGATTTCCAATTGTTTGTGCAAGTTATAGAGAAAAGAAAGAAAAATATTTTATCTAGAATCAATCAAGCATCAAATTTATTTCAGGATCCAACATACTTTTTTTTCCATTCTGTTAAATAAACTGACAAATAAATAAATACAATAAGAAATAATACTAAAAACTGTTTTTATTCAACATATGCAATATTCACACAAAGTGCCATACTGCCATCCAGATACAGAAAGAAAAGAGAGAGACAGAGGGAGAGAGGGAGAGAATTTTAGAAGTTAAAGGAACTGATTACTGTAGCATTATAGTATTCCCATGCATTCGACAACTAATAAAATAATAAGATAAAAATACAGAAAAAAGCAACATAAAAAAAATAATAATTTAAAAAGCAATACACATTACTTTCCCTTTTCTTTTTTGCCTGAGAAAATAAAGGTAAGTGCAACATCCTAATAAATAAAGCAGACAAACACAAGCAAAAAAAACAAAAACAAAAACAAAAAATCACACAAAAATTGAGATTATTTCCTGAGATTTCAAAATATTTGGATCGACATTCGATGAGAGATGACAAATTATTTCTATTTCTTTGCATAATAAATGTAAATGGCATGGTTCCCTTCATAAAATGTATTATTTAACAAACACAGAACATACAATATTATGTAAACTTACTTTTGCTAATAATTATAGACATCCCACAGTACATAAAAAGACAATACAGCAAGGAAAGAATTTGTATTTGTGCCAAGACAAAGGTTGTTAAGTTGCATAGCAGTAGTAGTAGTTGATGATGATGTAGTAGTAATAAGTGTCACTGTTGTAGTAATAGTAGTAATTGTAGTAATAGTAGTAATTGCAGTAGTAATAATAGTAGTAGTAATAGTAGTTGTTGTTGTTTTAGTGGTAGTAGTATTGATCATAATAAGTAGCATTTGTAATAAGTAGTAATTGTAGTAAGGAGTAGTCATAGTAAGTAATAGTTGAATTAAGTAGTAGTAGCAGGAACAGTAATAACAGTAGTAGTCCTACCAGCATCAGCAACAGAGTCAATTTCATAATCAATTATCCTTTAGCTATAATAAAGCTTGAGTCTTGTACTCGCACACTTTCATCACCATATTTTGAAATATCACTGCAAGTATCAGGTAAATCCTTATAACCATTAATTTTGATTATAAAACAGTATCATGCATGAGAAAACACTTACCAAGGATTTCTTCTGATATGTTTGCATAACTCTTAACACATTTATCAGATTCTATCTATCATCACAGCCTTTGTAGTTTGAAAAAAAAATAAAAAAATCAAAGGTTAAAAAAAATTTAAAAGTTATGGAGTTACTTATCAACCACGTCAGTATTACTACGTGGTATGTCACTCTTCAGATCGATTTCCTCAAACCTGTCACTTCCCGCCTGCATCCACTCCGAACTGCCATTTCCAGCGTTCAGGTCGACAACTGGTGTGATCCCTGCGTTGCCATGCACTCGCCTCTTGCGGTTCGTGTAGTTGTGCAGAACAACTTTTAACTGCTTCAGGTCTCCCCAGACAGACTTCATGGTGACGAACATGTTGCACAGGTTTTTAACGATGAAGGGCGACACCGATAATGATAGGCCCGCCCACAGGTGGACTCGGATGATAAAATATGACAAGTTGATCAGCCACAGGTGACTCATTTTGTAAACAATGGAGGACACTAGACAAATAGCACTGTTGCCATAATTACTACGACTCAGTTTCACCAAAGCTATCCCAGGTAGGAAGAAGTTCATACATGAAAATGCAATGATGATGTTTTCCATATAGTCAGGGAAGAGAAATCCTGACTCTGACTGTATTAAGAGTGAAATGAATGTAACCGAGTCTAGTATCTCCATGGCAGTCCCTTGTGCAAGCGACCTAATGTACGTCTCCCTTTCAGAGCTGGCTCCAACCGTCGCCTGGCCTTCAACCAGGAGTGCAAACACAATGCACGACAGTGACAGAACAACCTTGAGCAGCTGGGGGCTCAGACGATCCGCTGTGTCGATCTTGTTGGGGATCTCCGACTTGAAGATGATGACCACCTTGGCCACCAGCAGCACAGAGTAAACCATCCAGACGTAAAAGGGCATGGCATGCTTGCCCAGAATGCCCTCCACTTTCCGCCACCTGGTGCCCTCCTCCTTCCGCTTGCCTTCCACGTTGACGTTGGGCGGGTGCCGCTCCTGCTTGCAGTTTCTGTAGCCCGAGGACATGGCGGCCACGAAGCCAAACACCATCAGGAAGTCTGGGATGAGCCAGAAGTAGTTGACGATGGCTGTGTGGTCATTGCTGATGATGTAGACGTCGAGGAAGATGCCCTGGGTCACTGCCACCACTAGCAGCACCCCCGTCAGGAGGGTGTGGTACAGGAGATTCTTGGTGAGCGTGAAGGGACATACTCCTGAACTCATCTCTGGAAACAAATAATAACAAATCAGATGTGTGGATGCATAAAAAAAATAAATGAACACAAATAGAAACATGATATAGGATACGTATATGATATATACACAATCCATATATATTGCTGTAGGGTTGTTAGTTCTCACAAGACCCATTTTCTATACGCACGCACACACATGCACACACTCACACTCACGACACACCCACATTGCAAGAGAACCTACTCCCATAAACTTGAATGAAACCTGACACAGTCATTTACAAACAAAGACTGTGGTTAGGGGGAGAATAGTCCACAGTAAACCACATTAAAATATTTTAAAAATACATAGGAAAATAATAATATAACTAATATCATAGTTGTAAGTTCCTTCAATGTAAAACACTGGCTAAGTTTGTGATATATTAACAGTTCCTTGAAGTCATTACTAACATGCTTGAAAAAGTTTAACAAATAATATAAAAGCTAAAGACAAAAACCTGAACTTATATATGAAGCAAATATCTCAAATCCAAAGTGAAAAATTTGTGGCACTTAAGCATACGAAACAAAACAGCTGGGCTCTTTTGCAATTGAAAAAGGCAAGGTGCACTCTTCTATACAGTCTTGATAAAGGAAGGTACAGGGGGAGGGGGAGGCTAGCTATTATCTAGGGAATAAAGAAAATGTAGGAAAGGATAGGTATGGGTTTTGGGTACGCAGGATACCCTGGTTTTGGGACTTGGTCTCTGGAGGTGCATCACTCTCGGGAACAAATACCAATGCTACAATCACTAATATAAGAAATGATTTGTACAGGTGGAAAATAGCACAGGAAGAAGACAAAATTACAAAAAAGGCGGCACAGAGGTTCATTTCAAGGCAATCTGCGTGGGTCACTTCGTAAACGACCGACCCATAAACTTACTATAACATAATTGCAAAAATCTTAATCTGACATCAAATCCACAAGGGACAAAAAAAAAACTAAAAAACTAAACCACCTGTCAAAACCACGTCAATCCACCCAAATAAACCACAAAAAAAAAACAACCCCAAAGGACTAAATAAAACCGAAAGGAAACCACCAACCAAACCCAGAATGATAAACCCAATAATAAAAAATAAAAAATAAAATAAAATCATTAAAAAAAATAAAAATAAATATATAAAAAGATTAAAAAAAAAATATCAATTAAAATATAAACGCGTCCTCATGAACATCCCTGAAAAAAAAACTACTTCCTGAAAGTGACGTTAAACACACGACGCCTCAAAATCCCCCTATTTCCCTCCTGATTTCACGCCCCAGTCGCCTCCCTCTCTCCCCACGCAAGGACTTTCTCCAATTAACCCACAAAAGGGAAAACCAAGCGAAATGACGCCCAAATAAGCGGAAAAAAACTCGTAGGAAAAGCGAGACACACCTACCTGTTGCTCCTCCGCCAAGCGACCTTCACGCCTTTTAAAATCAGGTCGCGCTAGTGTTTATCCTTCAAAAAACACCAAATAAAACCTTTCTTTGTTCCATAATTACCAAAAAATTAACAAATCATCAAAATTTACCCTTAATTACAAAAATAATCCTTACTAAAATACCTTAATTCTCAAAATATCAAAAATCAAAAACGACACAACGCGATCCGGGTATAAATGTAAGAATCTTTATTTTTTTTATTTTCGTTTTTTTTTTTCGTTTCCTTTTTTTTTTTTTTTTTTTTTTTTTTCTTTTTTTTTCGTTGGAATGAGGAAGGATTCTATTTCCATGCGTGACGTTCCTTCTGATCCTTGGCTTTGCTTGTTGCTTGAGCGAATATTAATGGTAATGATAAAGATGACTGATAATGACAATGATGTTAATAATTACAATGATAAAGATGATGATGATGGTGATGGCGATGATGATGGTAACGATTGTGATAATGATGATGGTGATGGTGATGATGATAATGATGATGATGGTGATGGTGATGATAATGATGATGATGGTGATGGTGATAATGATGATGACGATAATGATGTTGGTGATGATGGTGATGACGATAGTGATGGTGGTGGTGGTGATGATGGTGATGAAGATGATGGTGATAGTGGTGATGATAATAATGCTAACAAAACAATGATAATAATATGATGAGGAGGAGGAAAATAATCAACAATGACAATGAACAAACACAATACTGCAAAAACTATAACAACGACAACGATCAAGACAAAAAAGAAATGAAAGAAGTAACGAACCCAACAAACAATAATGACACAGACAGTGGCGATGACCGTCCTAGTAATAATAAAGATGACAACAACGAAAATATTAATGGCATCAGAGTTTATGACGCAAACAGCACAGTCGGCTCATGTTCGGATATAAAACTGCCAACACGTTTGCATCTCGTAAATATCCTTGAAATCCAATATACATATGTTCTTCTGTGTCTGTGTTCGATTTTATGCTAATGATTCGGAAAATTTTAGTATTCATTCCCAGTTTTTTTCCTATGGCTTCTGATCTCTCGTTGCCCGTATCTTAGTGTATCGTTTGTATAAATAAAATATGTTGAACAATGTCAGCTCCCCCTCCCCCTAAACACACACAAAAAAGAAGAAAAAATATATAGCTATTTATATACATTATCTTTATTACCATCATCATTATCATTATTATTATCATAATCATCATTAATACTATCATCATAATTATTATCATTATTAACATAATTATCACCCTTGTAATCATCATCACTACGCCATTGTTATCGTTATCTATATTAATAACAGCAATAATATTAACATCTTACCGAGGGAAGATCATGATAGTGATAGTGACAGTGATAGTGACGATGTGATAGTACTGATGGTTTTGACAATTTAATGATATTCATAGCCATGGTAATAGTGAAGACGTTTTGATAGTGACAGATTTTGGTGATGGTGTGGCGGTGGCGGTGATGATGAAAGTGATGGTGATTGCGGTCCAGTGTGGTGGTGAGTGATACGCAGAAGCCCATTGTTGTGATGTGTGTATGTATGTATGTATGTATGTATGTATGTGTGTATGTATGTATGTGTGTATGTATGTATGTGTGTATGTATGTATGTATGTATGTATGTATGTATGTATGTATGTGTGTATGTATGTATGTATGTATGTATGTATGTATGTATGTATGTATGTATGTATGTATGTGTGTATGTATGTATGTATGTATGTATGTATGTATGTATGTATGTATGTATGTATGTATGTATGTATGTATGTATGTATGTATGTGTGTATGTATGTATGTATGTATGTATGTATGTGTGTATGTATGTATGTATGTGTGTATGTATGTATGTATGTATGTATGTATGTATGTATGTATGTATGTATGTATGTATGTATGTATGTATGTATGTGTGTATGTATGTATGTGTGTATGTATGTATGTATGTGTGTATGTATGTATGTATGTATGTATGTGTGTATGTATGTATGTATGTATGTATGTATGTATGTGTGTATGTATGTATGTGTGTATGTATGTATGTATGTGTGTATGTATGTATGTGTGTATGTATGTATGTGTGTATGTATGTATGTGTGTATGTATGTATGTGTGTATGTATGTATGTGTGTATGTATGTATGTGTGTATGTATGTATGTGTGTATGTATGTATGTATGTGTGTATGTATGTATGTATGTATGTGTGTATGTATGTATGTGTGTATGTATGTATGTATGTATGTGTGTATGTATGTATGTGTGTATGTATGTATGTGTGTATGTATGTATGTGTGTATGTATGTATGTGTGTATGTATGTATGTATGTATGTGTGTATGTATGTATGTATGTGTGTATGTATGTATGTGTGTATGTATGTATGTGTGTATGTATGTATGTATGTATGTATGTGTGTATGTATGTATGTATGTATGTATGTATGTATGTGTGTATGTATGTATGTATGTATGTATGTGTGTATGTATGTATGTATGTGTGTATGTATGTATGTATGTATGTATGTATGTATGTATGTATGTATGTATGTATGTATGTATGTATGTATGTATGTATGTATGTATGTATGTATGTATGTGTGTATGTATGTATGTGTGTATGTATGTATGTGTGTATGTATGTGTATGTATGTATGTGTGTATGTATGTATGTGTGTATGTATGTATGTGTGTATGTATGTATGTGTGTATGTATGTATGTATGTATGTATGTATGTATGTATGTATGTATGTATGTATGTATGTATATATATATATATATATATATATATATATATATATATATATATATATATACATACACCATAATAAGGTACAAAAACTAGATAGATAGATAGATAGATATGTGGATGGATAGATAGATAGATATCCAATAACACCATAATAAGGTACAAAAACTCATGAAATCTTAACATCAATATTTGTAGACAGTAAATTTGGCGTCAATTTGCAATAACTCCTACTTTGCGAGCTTCTCCGTAAAATAACGTAGGAAATACTTGATAACATTATCGCAATGGCATTTCTGATTTTGACTTTATTACTGATGCCTATAAAAGTATCACTTCTGACAAAAGCACGAAAAATACCAATTATATAACATTAATAGTAACATTGCAAAGAAACAAGAAAACAGCAATAAGTTACAACATTAATGTAATAATTATTACAACATTAATGGTAGAAAATCCACAATGTAAAACTGAGATTAATGCAAAAGTGAGACAAAAATTTCGAAATCTTCCTCGGTTTTATCCCCAGACCTGAGAGTTTTTCAATCACTGAGTGTCTTACCATGTAATATCATTAGTAAAGCTCGTAAATTATTGATATCGCCTTCAGTACAAACACACACAAAAAAACATGATCTCACTTCCGTTGTCATGAAAGTTCCTTGAAGAACGACCCTATCGATAATAATTCATAAATCCGGTCTTCTTGCCATTAGCCATTTCATTTTACCACAAAAAAAAAAAAAAAAAAATACAAAAAGAAAAACTAAAAAAATACAGTAAGAAATGTGAAG